TTGTTTAGGGAAAAGTCCCCTCACAGCAGTGTAAAAATAATAAAGAGCAAAACTAAAACTACCTATAGAGGCGGGCAGAGTGAACTGACAAGGCAATCCCCAGTGACTGCTTCTTGCTCAGCTCTCACAGATTGTTTACTTGATGAAATATACTGGTGGAATTACAACACTGCAAGCTACACACATGCATTGTTCCAAGGTTGTTTCCAAAGACTTCATTATGACTGTGCAGAGATTTACACAGATTTGAAAGCTGGTTAATGAATTTGTATTGTTGCAATTTTACGATAGAAGCAAACTTGACAATAAAATGCTTGAGCGTTTAAATCCATCTGCATTGTCCGCCGCTCCCTCATGATGTGGACCTGCTGTGAGGCGATAAGAAACGCAAGAACCGCTCTTGTCGTGATCAGCTTTGTCCTCGGGTTCGCAGTCAACCGCAGGGAGAGCCGGGGGACACGAGGACACGGACACAGCCGAGGCTCGGAGGGTGCCTAGTTGCAGATACAAAGCGCTATGTCGGCCGCTCTCAGCGAAGTCAATCAGGGGACAGTGTAGATGGTCGTTAGTGATGGGCGGAACTCGCCGTCGTCATGGGGACAGGGCTGCGGCTGATAATTGGGCGTGGGACTCGGCGGCAACAAAGCAACACGGCCTTAGTAATGAGATTAATGATGTTGTGTTAGGTCTTGTTTCACCAAGGAGAGGATTATCTCCTAACAGCCCTCCTAAGGTGAAGGAAAGGACAATTACTCAGACACAGATTCATCAGGCCCATTCTCTATACAGGCTGAGCTCGAAATGATGTTTCAGAGCTGGGTCAGGGCTTCCCACAGAAAAGAAAAAAGCAATTTACTCAAAAACTCTGCAACGAGCATTAAGGAAGTCAAAGTCAATTGTTTTCAACCTGAGTGTTGCCGAGTGAGCGTTATGGTGCTGCAAAGTTCAGATCGGCTCCTGATCAAACACCTCAGGGTGAATATAAATATGCTTCTTGTATGTGACCAACCAGACTGAGTAATGATGGGTTTCTTTGTCAGAAATGAGTCCTCCTAGATTAATTTTCTTGAGCTTTGCCCTCTTTGAACACAGGAAAAAATATTCATTACAAATGATCTCTGGACCATGTGAGGCTGTTGCTTAAATGATGCACCGCTCCTCAGGCAAATCTCTCTCTGAGGGCCGTCAGACGCATTCAGGACGACATGCTGTCAATGGACAGTATTTATTCACAGCTGACTTCTGGGAATAATTGAAGTCTCATCTCTGTACATACTTACAACTTTAAAGCCATTCACTGGTTTAAAGCTGGAAAGCGGTACACTCTTTACATAGAGATGAATGTCTGTTACATTCAAGCCCTTTCCCTAATGACTTCACACGATGCCAGGAAGCTCTTTGTATTTTGCAGTACACAGACTTTCGGCACCAACTGTATTAAGTCTCAAACTAAGTATTTTTGTTTGCGTCCTTACCCACTTATCTACTATATATATAAAATTTGCATTTTTGCTGATTTTTAGCATCACCTGATATATTTTGGCTACTGGAATTCATTTGAAGTCATGTTTCTATTCACCTTACAAATGTAAATTTAATATTTGCTCTTAAATAAAAAAAATAAAAAAAGAAGCTTGTTTACTGCTATTTCTTGACTTTTCATACTAGCTAGTTGCTAACTGCTATTTTCTCCTGAAATCAGCTGCCTGCTGTTTCTAGAAACAGTGATGATTAGAATGGATCTTCCAGAACCTGATAACAAAACACTAGCTTTGTTTCCGACTTCAAATTTCAACCGTATTTCAAGTAAATCAGCAAAAGAAAAATTTGAATGAATGCTTGTTTTCATCCACTACCATTTATGAGTTGGTTCATCAAGTTAAGCCGTAGGTGGTGCCAATTTTCCAGTTGGAAAACCAGAAGAAGAGGGAGCAACAAGATGACTTAATTAAAGAGAGCCATTGGAAGCTCAGACTGTGACAAATAATGCAGAAAACAGGATGTCATTTCTGTTTGTTTCATGTATTAACCTGAGGAGCTGAGTTGTCATGAGTAAAATGTTTGCTACATCAGAACTTATTTGAAAAAAGTGTTTCCATCTCCCATTAAGGCAAAAACCTTTAAAATGTGTGTAAAAATATGATGATGGATACACAGCTAATAAGATAAAGTAAACCTCGAATGGCTCTGTTCCATAATTCGCTATGGTCATTTAATCCTTAGTTAATATAAAAAATATGAATTTGTGCAGCTTTAAACATAGCATAAAACAATGAATTATTTAGTTTGCATTAAACAACTACAGCTCCCGTGAGCTTCAGAGCGGGCATACACGAAGAACGTAAAGCCAGTAGAACTGAAGTGCGGTGGAACATCGGCTCCCTGTTGTATTAGAAATAGTCTGAATCACAGTTGCAGTCACACACAGACAAACGTTCCTTTATTGTGTATTTATGGACAGTTTGCACATTTATCATTAGCAACAAGGATGATTCATCAACTGTAATAAAACCTCTCAGAGTTGTATTATTTGGAAAACAAATGAGTATGAATAAATAATGAAATGTGAATAATCTGTTGTTTTTTTTTCTTCCTTTCAGTGACTGAACTTGCTGTATACATTATAAATCAATTCATCTAGCAAAAACATATCCTAACTTTATAAAATATGGGTTTTCAGTTCAAGTCCAGTGTCATCAAAAGCGTCCTAAAGAAAAAAAGAAATCTTTTGAAACCAGTAGTGAAATGCCACTATGATACATATTCAAGAAATATCATGAGGTTCTTCTCTAATAAAAACTGACATCAATCATCTAGAGGAAAAACCTACCGAGGTGCACAAGAAAAAGACATTCTCTTGATGGCACGGAGGGGGTTGGGGTATAAATTAGGGCTGATTATGTATTTTTGAGAGCGTTTAGATATAAACATTCTACTTACATGTTCTTCTTCACCTTTTCATCAACACTGAGGCAAACAGTGTAATCACATTTAATCAGAAGTAACACTTTATTTTACAGTCTGCGTAGCTAATGTGTACTTTATTCCCAGCATTCACACAAAAGACGTGTTCAGATATGTACTCTGGGGTACAGAATTAATGCACTGAAATAGTATTAGTGCTGACGTTGATCCCAAAACATCCACTGAATTAAACAGGCTTCTGTACCATTTTGTTCATAAATGCCAAGAGGATAAGAGGGCTTTCAGGTGTAACACACCCTCCCAGCAAAATATTACTCAAATGTTGTAACGACAACTTGGGTATATATGTCTAATTTTGGTTGAAAGCTAAAAAGACTATATTTATATCGGGTTAATTATTGGGTTAATTAAGGATTAATATTTAAGGGGAAATTTAAGGTAATATAAAAATGTACAATATTTTGTGGGTTTGGCAGTCATCGGCTGCTTTAGAATTCATGGACCATTATTATATTAAGCCAACATCTTGTGCAGCCATGTTGTCGGCCTTGGACAATCATTGTAAAGACATTTTTCACAAACACATCTGAGTGATTCAAATCAAAACAATTGAGATATTTCAGCAGCAGTTAGCTAACAAATCAACATCGGCTTGGCTAATTAGCAATCTGCTGTTGTACAGCTAGCTTACATACTAACTAATTTAGTAGAAGCTAGAGTTAGCACCTAGTTGTCAGTTAACATTAATACCAGCTGTTTTGCTTAATAGGAGCTTGCTGCCAGCTACTAATGCTACTGCAAAATGTTAACTGATGTTCATTTTTGCCACGATACTTTTCAAATACATTTTTGTCACACAGGATCTTCCATATGTGCGTCAAAAATGCCTTTCAGCTACATGAAAATGTATTTCTGTGTCTGAAAGTAATAAAGGAAAAGCTTGTTTCCTGGCATGCCTTGAGAAGTATCGATTGTAATATATTAAATAATATATTTGAAATAGATTATTTTTAAATATATTTGAACTAGAGAAACAAAAGAACTAAAAGAGTTTGACAAAATAATCTTAACTCAGGGTCTACTTACTAGCTTGTTCTGTTCTCAACCACATCTCACATTCTTCACCAGCTCAGT